AGCAGCGATCCAGCCGTCCAGTTCTATCTGAACACGTACACCACAAAAAGAGAGGTCCTTGACAGTGTCAGAGGTTTGAGGCACAAAGGCGGACGACCCCTCAACACTGGAGCAGCTCTCCGGTACTTGAGGGATAACGTCTTCACGGCCTCTGCCGGAAGCAGGCGGCCATCAGGAGTTCCGCAGGTCCTAATATTGATCACTGGTGGAAGATCATTTGACAGTATTGATGAACCAGCCTCTGCTCTCAAACAGCTGGGTGTCTTGACCATTGCAATTGGAACCCGAGGCTCTGACCCCAGAGAACTTCAGACCATAACTGGCGAGCCCAGTTATGCTCTATCTGTGTCTGAACTTACTGACCTACCCAAAGTGCAACAGCAACTTGAGTCCTCTGTGGAAGCTGCAGTTTTTGAAGTCACCCCAGAATTACCAACCGTAATTGGTACGTTGTCAGACACATCCTGTTGCTTGCTCCAAAAGTTATTAATTTAGCTACAGTGAGGAAAAGCAAATAAATGAATGTGATGTGTGTATAGGTTTTTTGTGCATTTCAAACCAGTTGGTAGCATGCTGTGGTCTTTCTAAAACAGAAGTAGGCCAGGCTAGTGTTGTTAAAATATTAGTGTGCCAGTGAAAGATAATCTCACAAGCTTTGTGAAAGGTTTTCATTTTTTTGTCCTACTGTCTTTTCTCAGCTTCACGTGACAGAAAAGATATTGTATTCCTTCTGGATGGTTCTGATGGCACAAGGAATGGCTTTCCTGCCATGCGTGATTTTGTAGAGAGAGTGGTGGAGAAAATCAATGTGGGAGAAAACAAAGACCATGTCTCTGTGGTCCAGTACAGCAGAGAACCAGAGGTCCATTTTCTATCTGAACACATATACCACAAGGGAGGATGTGGTGGACTCGGTCAGAGGGCTTAGACACAGAGGAGGAAGACCCCTAAACACTGGGGCAGCTCTCCAATACGTCAGAGACAACGTCTTTACAAACTCCTCTGGAAGTAGACGCCTGCAGGTGTCCCACAGATATTGATCTTACTAACTGGGGGAAGGTCTTTTGACAATGTAGATAGCCCAGCCTCAGCTCTCAAACAGCAGGGCATTTATGTGATTGGCATTGGAACTAGGACCTCAGATGCTAGAGAGCTGCAGAAAATATCATATGAGCCCAGTTATGCTCTGTCAGTGTCCGAGTTCACTGACCTTCCCAGTGTCCAAGAACAGCTCTCTTCTGTAATGAGCAAAGTGATAGTGAGGGCCACGCCCATGACACCAACAGTGACCGGTAAGAACGTGACTCCTTTGTAATCTCCAGTATCATGGTAGGAAACAGTGTGAAAAGAAACCAAATGTGATTTGCTGTGTTCAGTTAGCTAGTGGATTGTCTTTTTTTTTTTAAATAGTTGTGCTTGCGAAGAAAGAGTTCAATTTCAAGATGTTTCTCTTTAGATGCAAAATATTTGATTGACCAAGTTAAACATATGGTAAATCTCATGTCTCTTAGTGTCAGACAGCCAGCAGGAAGGGATGTGGTGTTTTTGCTGGATGGATCTGATGCTACTAGAAGTGGATTCCCAGCTATGAGAGACTTTGTCCAAAAACAAGTAGACACACTCAGTGTGGATGATGGCAAAGACCGTGTGTCGGTTGTTCAGTACAGCACGATCCAGCCGTCCAGTTCTATCTGAACACGTACACCACAAAAAGAGAGGTCCTTGACAGTGTCAGAGGTTTGAGGCACAAGGCGGACGACCCCTCAACACTGGAGCAGCTCTCCGGTACTTGAGGGATAACGTCTTCACGGCCTCTGCCGGAAGCAGGCGGCCATCAGGAGTTCCGCAGGTCCTAATATGATCACTGGTGGAAGATCATTTGACAGTATTGATGAACCAGCCTCTGCTCTCAAACAGCTGGGTGTCTTGACCATTGCAATTGGAACCCGAGGCTCTGACCCCAGAGAACTTCAGACCATAACTGGCGAGCCCAGTCATGCTGTATCTGTGTCTGAGTTCACTGACCTTCCCAATGTTCAAGAACAGCTCTCTTCTGTAATGAGCACAGTGCCAATGAGGGTCACACCTTTGACCCCAACAGTGACTGGTAAGAACATGACCCATCTTCAAAGTCCAGTATCATTGTAGGAAACAGTGTGAAAAGAAATCATTTGGTTTTGCTGTGTTTAATCAGCCGTGGATTGTTTTTCCTTTTTTTTTGTTCTGTTTTCGTTTTTGTTTTTTTTATAATAGTTGTGGTTGTAAAGAAAGAGTTCACTTTTTACCATGGTGCTTTTTAGCTGCAAAATATTTGATTGACCAAGTTAAACATATGGTAATCTCATGTCTCTTAGTGGTCAGACAGCCAGCAGAAGGGATGTGGTGTTTTTGGCTGGATGGATCTGATGCTACTAGAAGTGGATTCCCAGCTATGAGAGACTTTGTCCAAAAACAAGTAGACACACTCAGTGTGATGATGGGCAAAGGACCGTGTGTCGGTTGTTCAGTACAGCAGCGATCCAGCCGTCCAGTTCTATCTGAACACGTACACCACAAAAAGAGAGGTCCTTGACAGTGTCAGAGGTTTGAGGCACAAAGGCGGACGACCCCTCAACACTGGAGCAGCTCTCCGGTACTTGAGGGATAACGTCTTCACGGCCTTGCCGGAAGCAGGCGGCCATCAGGAGTTCCGCAGGTCCTAATATTGATCACTGGTGGAGATCATTTGACAGTATTGATGGAACCAGCCTCTGCTTCTCAAACAGCTGGGTGCTTTGACCATTGCCAATTGGAACCCGAGGCTCTGACCCAGAGAACTTCAGACCATAACTGGCGAGCCCAGTTATGCTCTATCTGTGTCTGAACTTACTGACCTACCCAAAGTGCAACAGCAACTTGAGTCCTCTGTGGAAGCTGCAGTTTTTGAAGTCACCCCAGATTACCAACCGTAATTGGTACGTTGTCAGACACATCCTGTGCTTGCTCCAAAAGTTATTAATTTTAGCTACAGTGAGGAAAAGCAAATAAATGAATGTGATGTGTGATAGGTTTTTGTGCATTTCAAACCAGTTGGGTAGCATGCTGTGGTCTTTCTAAAACAGAAGTAGGCCAGGCTAGTGTTGTTAAAATATTAGTGTGCCAGTGAAAGATAATCTCACAAGCTTTGTGAAAGGTTTTCATTTTTTTGTCCTACTGTCTTTTCTCAGCTTCACGTGACAGAAAAGATATTGTATTCCTCTGGATGGTTCTGATGGCACAAGGAATGGCTTCCTGCCATGCGTGATTTGGTAGAGAGAGTGGTGGAGAAAATCAATGTGGGAAGAAAACAAAGACCATGTCTCTGTGGTCCAGTACAGCAGAGAACCAGAGGTCCATTTCTATCTGAACACATATACCACAAGGAGGATGTGGTGGACTCGGTCAGAGGGCTTAGACACAGAGGAGGAAGACCCCTAAACACTGGGGCAGCTCTCCAATACGTCAGAGACAACGTCTTTACAAACTCCTCTGGAAGTAGACGCCTGCAGGGTGTCCCACAGATATTGATCTTACTAACTGGGGGAAGGTCTTTTGACAATGTAGATAGCCCAGCCTCAGCTCTCAAACAGCAGGGCATTTATGTGATTGGCATTGGAACTAGGACCTCAGATGCTAGAGAGCTGCAGAAAATATCATATGAGCCCAGTTATGCTCTGTCAGTGTCCGAGTTCACTGACCTTCCCAGTGTCCAAAGAACAGCTCTCTTCTGTAATGAGCAAAGTGATAGTGAGGGCCACGCCCATGACACCAACAGTGACCGGTAAGAACGTGACTCCTTTGTAATCTCCAGTATCATGGTAGGAAACAGTGTGAAAAGAAACCAAATGTGATTTGCTGTGTTCAGTTAGCTAGTGGATTGTCTTTTTTTTTTTAAATAGTTGTGCTTGCGAAGAAAGAGTTCAATTTCAAGAGTTTCTCTTTAGATGCAAAATATTGATTGACCAAGTTAAACATATGGTAAATCTCATGTCTCTTAGTGGTCAGACAGCCAGCAGGAAGGGATGTGGTGTTTTGCTGGATGGATCTGATGCTACTAGAAGTGGATTCCCAGCTATGAGAGACTTTGTCCAAAAACAAGTAGACACACTCAGTGTGGATGATGGCAAAGACCGTGTGTCGGTTGTTCAGTACAGCAGCGATCCAGCCGTCCAGTTCTATCTGAACACGTACACCACAAAAAGAGAGGTCCTTGACAGTGTCAGAGGTTTGAGGCACAAAGGCGGACGACCCCTCAACACTGGAGCAGCTCTCCGGTACTTGAGGGATAACGTCTTCACGGCCTCTGCCGGAAGCAGGCGGCCATCAGGAGTTCCGCAGGTCCTAATATTGATCACTGGTGGAAGATCATTTGACAGTATTGATGAACCAGCCTCTGCTCTCAAACAGCTGGGTGTCTTGACCATTGCAATTGGAACCCGAGGCTCTGACCCCAGAGAACTTCAGACCATAACTGGCGAGCCCAGTCATGCTGTATCTGTGTCTGAGTTCACTGACCTTCCCAATGTTTCAAGAACAGCTCTCTTCTGTAATGAGCACAGTGCCAATGAGGGTCACACCTTTGACCCAACAGTAACTGGTAAGAACATGACCCATCTTCAAAGTCCAGTATCATTGTAGGAAACAGTGTGAAAGAAATCATTTGGTTTTGCTGTGTTTAATCAGCCAGTGGATTGTTTTTCCTTTTTTTTGTTCTGTTCGTTTTTGTTTTTTGTTTTTTTTTATAAATAGTTGTGGCTTAAGAAAGAGTTCACTTTTCTGGTGCTTTAGCTGCAAATATTTGATTGACCAAGTTAAACATATGGTAAATCTCATGTCTCTTAGTGGTCAGACAGCCAGCAGGAAGGGATGTGGTGTTTTTGCTGGATGGATCTGATGCTACTAGAAGTGGATTCCCAGCTATGAGAGACTTTGTCCAAAAACAAGTAGACACACTCAGTGTGGATGATGGCAAAGACCGTGTGTCGGTTGTTCAGTACAGCAGCGATCCAGCCGTCCAGTTCTATCTGAACACGTACACCACAAAAAGAGAGGTCCTTGACAGTGTCAGAGGTTTGAGGCACAAAGGCGGACGACCCCTCAACACTGGAGCAGCTCTCCGGTACTTGAGGGATAACGTCTTCACGGCCTCTGCGGAAGCAGGCGGCCATCAGGAGTTCCGCAGGTCCTAATATTGATCACTGGTGGAAGATCATTTGACAGTATTGATGAACCAGCCTCTGCTCTCAAACAGCTGGGTGTCTTGACCATTGCAATTGGAACCCGAGGCTCTGACCCCAGAGAACTTCAGACCATAACTGGCGAGCCCAGTCATGCTGTATCTGTGTCTGAGTTCACTGACCTTCCCAATGTTCAAGAACAGCTCTCTTCTGTAATGAGCACAGTGCCAATGAGGGTCACACCTTTGACCCCAACAGTAACTGGTAAGAACATGACCCATCTTCAAAGTCCAGTATCATTGTAGGAAACAGTGTGAAAAGAAATCATTTGGTTTTGCTGTGTTTAATCAGCCAGTGGATTGTTTTTCCTTTTTTTTGTTCTGTTTTCTTTGTTTTTTTATAAAATAGTTGTGGTTGTAAAGAAAGAGTTCACTTTTACCATGGTGCTTTTTAGCTGCAAAATATTTGATTGACCAAGTTAAACATATGGTAAATCTCATGTCTCTTAGTGGTCAGACAGCCAGCAGGAAGGGATGTGGTGTTTTTGCTGGATGGATCTGATGCTACTAGAAGTGGATTCCCAGCTATGAGAGACTTTGTCCAAAAACAAGTAGACACACTCAGTGTGGATGATGGCAAAGACCGTGTGTCGGTTGTTCAGTACAGCAGCGATCCAGCCGTCCAGTTCTATCTGAACACGTACACCACAAAAAAGAGAGGTCCTTGACAGTGTCAGAGGTTTGAGGCACAAAGGCGGACGACCCCTCAACACTGGAGCAGCTCTCCGGTACTTGAGGGATAACGTCTTCACGGCCTCTGCCGGAAGCAGGTGGCCATCAGGAGTTCCGCAGGTCCTAATATTGATCACTGGTGGAAGATCATTTGACAGTATTGATGAACCAGCCTCTGCTCTCAAACAGCTGGGTGTCTTGACCATTGCAATTGGAACCCGAGGCTCTGACCCCAGAGAACTTCAGACCATAACTGGCGAGCCCAGTCATGCTGTATCTGTGTCTGAGTTCACTGACCTTCCCAATGTTCAAGAACAGCTCTCTTCTGTAATGAGCACAGTGCCAATGAGGGTCACACCTTTGACCCCAACAGTGACTGGTAAGAACATGACCCATCTTCAAAGTCCAGTATCATTGTAGGAAACAGTGTGAAAGAAATCATTTGGTTTTGGCTGTGTTTAATCAGCCAGTGGATTGTTTTTCCTTTTTTTTTTGTTCTGTTTTCGTTTTTGTTTTTTTTTTTTATAAAATAGTTGTGGTTGTAAAGAAAGAGTTCACTTTTACCATGGTGCTTTTTAGCTGCAAAATATTTGATTGACCAAGTTAAACATATGGTAAATCTCATGTCTCTTAGTGGTCAGACAGCCAGCAGGAAGGGATGTGGTGTTTTTGCTGGATGGATCTGATGCTACTAGAAGTGGATTCCCAGCTATGAGAGACTTTGTCCAAAAACAAGTAGACACACTCAGTGTGGATGATGGCAAAGACCGTGTGTCGGTTGTTCAGTACAGCAGCGATCCAGCCGTCCAGTTCTATCTGAACACGTACACCACAAAAAGAGAGGTCCTTGACAGTGTCAGAGGTTTGAGGCACAAAGGCGGACGACCCCTCAACACTGGAGCAGCTCTCCGGTACTTGAGGGATAACGTCTTCACGGCCTCTGCCGGAAGCAGGCGGCCATCAGGAGTTCCGCAGGTCCTAATATTGATCACTGGTGGAAGATCATTTGACAGTATGATGAACCAGCCTCTGCTCTCAAACAGCTGGGTGTCTTGACCATTGCAATTGGAACCCGAGGCTCTGACCCCAGAGAACTTCAGACCATAACTGGCGAGCCCAGTTATGCTCTATCTGTGTCTGAACTTACTGACCTACCCCAAAGTGCAACAGCAACTTGAGTCCTCTGTGGAAGCTGCAGTTTTTGAAGTCACCCCAGAATTACCAACCGTAATTGGTACGTTGTCAGACACATCCTGTTGCTTGCTCCAAAAGTTATTAATTTAGCTACAGTGAGGAAAAGCAAATAAATGAATGTGATGTGTGTATAGGTTTTTTGTGCATTTCAAACCAGTTGGTAGCATGCTGTGGTCTTTCTAAAACAGAAGTAGGCCAGGCTAGTGTTGTTAAAATATTAGTGTGCCAGTGAAAGATAATCTCACAAGCTTTGTGAAAGGTTTTCATTTTTTTGTCCTACTGTCTTTTCTCAGCTTCACGTGACAGAAAAGATATTGTATTCCTTCTGGATGGTTCTGATGGCACAAGGAATGGCTTTCCTGCCATGCGTGATTTTGTAGAGAGAGTGGTGGAGAAAATCAATGTGGGAGAAAACAAAGACCATGTCTCTGTGGTCCAGTACAGCAGAGACCAGAGGTCCATTTCTATCTGAACACATATACCACAAGGGAGGATGTGGTGGACTCGGTCAGAGGGCTTAGACACAGAGGAGGAAGACCCCTAAACACTGGGGCAGCTCTCCAATACGTCAGAGACAACGTCTTTACAAACTCCTCTGGAAGTAGACGCCTGCAGGGTGTCCCACAGATATTGATCTTACTAACTGGGGAAGGTCTTTTGACAATGTAGATAGCCCAGCTCAGCTCTCAAACAGCAGGGCATTTATGTGATTGGCATTGGAACTAGGACCTCAGATGCTAGAGAGCTGCAGAAAATATCATATGAGCCCAGTTATGCTCTGTCAGTGTCCGAGTTCACTGACCTTCCCAGTGGTCCAAGAACAGCTCTCTTCTGTAATGAGCAAAGTGATAGTGAGGGCCACGCCCATGACACCAACAGTGACCGGTAAGAACGTGACTCCTTTGTAATCTCCAGTATCATGGTAGGAAACAGTGTGAAAAGAAACCAAATGTGATTTGCTGTGTTCAGTTAGCTAGTGGATTGTCTTTTTTTTTTTTTAAATAGTTGTGCTTGCGAAGAAAAGAGTTCAATTTCAAGATGTTTCTCTTTAGCTGCAAAATATTTGATTGACCAAGTTAAACATATGGTAAATCTCATGTCTCTTAGTGGTCAGACAGCCAGCAGGAAGGGATGTGGTGTTTTTGCTGGATGGATCTGATGCTACTAGAAGTGGATTCCCAGCTATGAGAGACTTTGTCCAAAAACAAGTAACACACTCAGTGTGGATGATGGCAAAAGACCGTGTGTCGGTTGTTCAGTACAGCAGCGATCCAGCCGTCCAGTTCTATCTGAACACGTACACCACAAAAGAGAGGTCCTTGACAGTGTCAGAGGTTGAGGCACAAAGGCGGACGACCCCTCAACACTGGAGCAGCTCTCCGGTACTTGAGGGATAACGTCTTCACGGCCTCTGCCGGAAGCAGGCGGCCATCAGGAGTTCCGCAGGTCCTAATATTGATCACTGGTGGAAGATCATTTGACAGTATTGATGAACCAGCCTCTGCTCTCAAACAGCTGGGTGTCTTGACCATTGCAATTGGAACCCGAGGCTCTGACCCCAGAGAACTTCAGACCATAACTGGCGAGCCCAGTCATGCTGTATCTGTGTCTGAGTTCACTGACCTTCCCAATGTTCAAGAACAGCTCTCTTCTGTAATGAGCACAGTGCCAATGAGGGTCACACCTTTGACCCCCAACAGTGACTGGTAAGAACATGACCCATCTTCAAAGTCCAGTAATCATTTGTAGGAAACAGTGTGAAAAGAAATCATTTGGTTTTGCTGTGTTTAATCAGCCAGTGGATTGTTTTCCTTTTTTTTTTTGTTCTGTTTTCGTTTTTGTTTTTTGTTTTTTTTATAAAATAGTTGTGGTTGTAAAGAAAGAGTTCACTTTTACCATGGTGCTTTTTAGCTGCAAAATATTTGATTGACCAAGTTAAACATATGGTAAATCTCATGTCTCTTAGTGGTCAGACAACCAGCAGGAAGGGATGTGGTGTTTTTGCTGGATGGATCTGATGCTACTAGAAGTGGATTCCCAGCTATGAGAGACTTTGTCCAAAAACAAGTAGACACACTCAGTGTGGATGATGGCAAAGACCGTGTGTCGGTTGTTCAGTACAGCAGCGATCCAGCCGTCCAGTTCTATCTGAACACGTACACCACAAAAAGAGAGGTCCTTGACAGTGTCAGAGGTTTGAGGCACAAAGGCGGACGACCCCCTCAACACTGGAGCAGCTCTCCGGTACTTGAGGGATAACGTCTTCACGGCCTCTGCCGGAAGCAGGCGGCCATCAGGAGTTCCGCAGGTCCTAATATTGATCACTGGTGGAAGATCATTTGACAGTATTGATGAACCAGCCTCTGCTCTCAAACAGCTGGGTGTCTTGACCATTGCAATTGGAACCCGAGGCTCTGACCCCAGAGAACTTCAGACCATAACTGGCGAGCCCAGTCATGCTGTATCTGTGTCTGAGTTCACTGACCTTCCCAATGTTCAAGAACAGCTCTCTTCTGTAATGAGCACAGTGCCAATGAGGGGTCACACCTTTGACCCCAACAGTAACTGGTAAGAACATGACCCATCTTCAAAGTCCAGTATCATTGGTAGGAAACAGTGTGAAAAGAAATCATTTGGTTTTGCTGTGTTTAATCAGCCAGTGGATTGTTTTTCCTTTTTTTTTGTTCTGTTTTCGTTTTTGTTTTTTTTATAAAATAGTTGTGGTTGTAAAGAAAGAGTTCACTTTTACCATGGTGCTTTTTTAGCTGCAAAATATTTGATTGACCAAGTTAAACATATGGTAAATCTCATGTCTCTTAGTGGTCAGACAGCCAGCAGGAAGGGATGTGGTGTTTTTGCTGGATGGATCTGATGCTACTAGAAGTGGATTCCCAGCTATGAGAGACTTTGTCCAAAAACAAGTAGACACACTCAGTGTGGATGATGGCAAAGACCGTGTGTCGGTTGTTCAGTACAGCAGCGATCCAGCCGTCCAGTTCTATCTGAACACGTACACCACAAAAAGAGAGGTCCTTGACAGTGTCAGAGGTTTGAGGCACAAAGGCGGACGACCCCTCAACACTGGAGCAGCTCTCCGGTACTTGAGGGATAACGTCTTTCACGGCCTCTGCCGGAAGCAGGCGGCCATCAGGAGTTCCGCAGGTCCTAATATTGATCACTGGTGGAAGATCATTTGACAGTATTGATGAACCAGCCTCTGCTCTCAAACAGCTGGGTGTCTTGACCATTGCAATTGGAACCCGAGGCTCTGACCCCAGAGAACTTCAGACCATAACTGGCGAGCCCAGTTATGCTCTATCTGTGTCTGAACTTACTGACCTACCCAAAGTGCAACAGCAACTTGAGTCCTCTGTGGAAGCTGCAGTTTTTGAAGTCACCCAGAATTACAACCGTAATTGGTACGTTGTCAGACACATCCTGTTGCTTGCCTCAAAAGTTATTAATTTTAGCTACAGTGAGGAAAAGCAAATAAATGAATGTGATGTGTGTATAGGTTTTTTGTGCATTTCAAACCAGTTGGTAGCATGCTGTGGTCTTTCTAAAACAGAAGTAGGCCAGGCTAGTGTTGTTAAAATATTAGTGTGCCAGTGAAAAGATAATCTCACAAGCTTGTGAAAGGTTTTCATTTTTTTGTCCTACTGTCTTTTCTCAGCTTCACGTGACAGAAAAAGATATTGTATTCCTTCTGGATGGTTCTGATGGCACAAGGAATGGCTTTCCCTGCCATGCGTGATTTTGTAGAGAGAGTGGTGGAGAAAATCAATGTGGGAGAAAACAAAGACCATGTCTCTGTGGTCCAGTACAGCAGAGAACCAGAGGTCCATTTCTATCTGAACACATATACCACAAGGGAGGATGTGGTGGACTCGGTCAGAGGGCTTAGACACAGAGGAGGAAGACCCCTAAACACTGGGGCAGCTCTCCAATACGTCAGAGACAACGTCTTTACAAACTCCTCTGGAAGTAGACGCCTGCAGGGTGTCCCACAGATATTGATCTTACTAACTGGGGGAAGGTCTTTTGACAATGTAGATAGCCCAGCCTCAGCTCTCAAACAGCAGGGCATTTATGTGATTGGCATTGGAACTAGACCTCAGATGCTAGAGAGCTGCAGAAAATATCATATGAGCCCAGTTATGCTCTGTCAGTGTCCGAGTTCACTGACCTTCCCAGTGTCCAAGAACAGCTCTCTTCTGTAATGAGCAAAGTGATAGTGAGGCCACGCCCATGACACCAACAGTGACCGGTAAGAACGTGACTCCTTTTGTAATCTCCAGTATCATGGTAGGAAACAGTGTGAAAAGAAACCAAATGTGATTTGCCTGTGTTCAGTTAGCTTAGTGGATTGTCTTTTTTTTTTTTTTAAATAGTTGTGCTTGCGAAGAAAGAGTTCAATTTCAAGATGTTTCTCTTTAGCTGCAAAATATTTGATTGACCAAGTTAAACATATGGTAAATCTCATGTCTCTTAGTGGTCAGACAGCCAGCAGGAAGGGATGTGGTGTTTTTGCTGGATGGATCTGATGCTACTAGAAGTGGATTCCCAGCTATGAGAGACTTTGTCCAAAAACAAGTAGACACACTCAGTGTGGAATGATGGCAAAGACCGTGTGTCGGTTGTTCAGTACAGCAGCGAATCCAGCCGTCCAGTTCTATCTGAACACGTACACCACAAAAAGAGAGGTCCTTGACAGTGTCAGAGGTTTGAGGCACAAAGGCGGACGACCCCTCAACACTGGAGCAGCTCTCCGGTACTTGAGGGATAACGTCTTCACGGCCTCTGCCGGAAGCAGGCGGCCATCAGGAGTTCCGCAGGTCCTAATATTGATCACTGGTGGAAGATCATTTGACAGTATTGATGAACCAGCCTCTGCTCTCAAACAGCTGGGTGTCTTGACCATTGCAATTGGAACCCGAGGCTCTGACCCCAGAGAACTTCAGACCATAACTGGCGAGCCCAGTCATGCTGTATCTGTGTCTGAGTTCACTGACCTTCCCAATGTTCAAGAACAGCTCTCTTCTGTAATGAGCACAGTGCCAATGAGGGTCACACCTTTGACCCCAACAGTGACTGGTAAAGAACATGACCCATCTTCAAAGTCCAGTATCATTGTAGGAAACAGTGTGAAAAGAAATCATTTGGTTTTGCTGTGTTTAATCAGCCAGTGGATTGTTTTTCCTTTTTTTTTTGTTCTGTTTTCGTTTTTGTTTTTTTATAAAATAGTTGTGGTTGTAAAGAAAGAGTTCACTTTTACCATGGTGCTTTTTAGCTGCAAAATATTTGATTGACCAAGTTAAACATATGGTAAATCTCATGTCTCTTAGTGGTCAGACAGCCAGCAGGAAGGGATGTGGTGTTTTTGCTGGATGGATCTGATGCTACTAGAAGTGGATTCCCAGCTATGAGAGACTTTGTCCAAAAAACAAGTAGACACACTCAGTGTGGATGATGGCAAAGACCGTGTGTCGGTTGTTCAGTACAGCAGCGATCCAGCCGTCCAGTTCTATCTGAACACGTACACCACAAAAAGAGAGGTCCTTGACAGTGTCAGAGGTTTGAGGCACAAAGGCGGACGACCCCTCAACACTGGAGCAGCTCTCCGGTACTTGAGGGATAACGTCTTCACGGCCTCTGCCGGAAGCAGGCGGCCATCAGGAGTTCCGCAGGTCCTAATATTGATCACTGGTGGAAGATCATTTGACAGTATTGATGAACCAGCCTCTGCTCTCAAACAGCTGGGTGTCTTGACCATTGCAATTGGAACCCGAGGCTCTGACCCCAGAGAACTTCAGACCATAACTGGCGAGCCCAGTTATGCTCTATCTGTGTCTGAACTTACTGACCTACCCAAAGTGCAAACAGCAACTTGAGTCCTCTGTGGAAGCTGCAGTTTTGAAGTCACCCCAGAATTACCAACCGTAATTGGTACGTTGTCAGACACATCCTGTTGCTTGCTCCAAAAGTATTAATTTTAGCTACAGTGAGGAAAAGCAAATAAATGAATGTGATGTGTGTATAGGTTTTTTGTGCATTTCAAACCAGTTGGTAGCATGCTGTGGTCTTTCTAAAACAGAAGTAGGCCAGGCTAGTGTTGTTAAAATATTAGTGTGCCAGTGAAAGATAATCTCACAAGCTTTGTGAAAGGTTTTCATTTTTTTGTCCTACTGTCTTTTCTCAGCTTCACGTGACAGAAAAGATATTGTATTCCTTCTGGATGGTTCTGATGGCACAAGGAATGGCTTTCCTGCCATGCGTGATTTTGTAGAGAGAGTGGTGGAGAAAATCAATGTGGGAGAAAACAAAGACCATGTCTCTGTGGTCCAGTACAGCAGAGAACCAGAGGTCCATTTCTATCTGAACACATATACCACAAGGGAGGATGTGGTGGACTCGGTCAGAGGGCTTAGACACAGAGGAGGAAGACCCCTAAACACTGGGGCAGCTCTCCAATACGTCAGAGACAACGTCTTTACAAACTCCTCTGGAAGTAGACGCCTGCAGGGTGTCCACAGATATTGATCTTACTAACTGGGGGAAGGTCTTTTGACAATGTAGATAGCCCAGCCTCAGCTCTCAAACAGCAGGGCATTTATGTGATTGGCATTGGAACTAGGACCTCAGATGCTAGAGAGCTGCAGAAAATATCATATGAGCCCAGTTATGCTCTGTCAGTGTCCGAGTTCACTGACCTTCCCAGTGTCCAAGAACAGCTCTCTTCTGTAATGAGCAAAGTGATAGTGAGGGCCACGCCCATGACACCAACAGTGACCGGTAAGAACGTGACTCCTTTGTAATCTCCAGTATCATGGTAGGAAACAGTGTGAAAAGAAACCAAATGTGATTTGCTGTGTTCAGTTAGCTAGTGGATTGTCTTTTTTTTTTTAAAATAGTTGTGCTTGCGAAGAAAGAGTTCAATTTCAAGATGTTTCTCTTTAGCTGCAAAATATTTGATTGACCAAGTTAAACATATGGTAAATCTCATGTCTCTTAGTGGTCAGACAGCCAGCAGGAAGGGATGTGGTGTTTTTGCTGGATGGATCTGATGCTACTAGAAGTGGATTCCCAGCTATGAGAGACTTTGTCCAAAAACAAGTAGACACACTCAGTGTGGATGATGGCAAAGACCGTGTGTCGGTTGTTCAGTACAGCAGCGATCCAGCCGTCCAGTTCTATCTGAACACGTACACCACAAAAAGAGAGGTCCTTGACAGTGTCAGAGGTTTGAGGCACAAAGGCGGACGACCCCTCAACACTGGAGCAGCTCTCCGGTACTTGAGGGATAACGTCTTCACGGCCTCTGCCGGAAGCAGGCGGCCATCAGGAGTTCCGCAGGTCCTAATATTGATCACTGGTGGAAGATCATTTGACAGTATTGATGAACCAGCCTCTGCTCTCAAACAGCTGGGTGTCTTGACCATTGCAATTGGAACCCGAGGCTCTGACCCCAGAGAACTTCAGACCATAACTGGCGAGCCCAGTCATGCTGTATCTGTGTCTGAGTTCACTGACCTTCCCAATGTTCAAGAACAGCTCTCTTCTGTAATGAGCACAGTGCCAATGAGGGTCACACCTTTGACCCCAACAGTGACTGGTAAGAACATGACCCATCTTCAAAGTCCAGTATCATTGTAGGAAACAGTGTGAAAAGAAATCATTTGGTTTTGCTGTGTTTAATCAGCCAGTGGATTGTTTTCCTTTTTTTTGTTCTGTTTTCGTTTTTGTTTTTGTTTTTTTATAAAATAGTTGTGGTTGTAAAGAAAGAGTTCACTTTTACCATGGTGCTTTTTAGCTGCAAAATATTTGATTGACCAAGTTAAACATATGGTAAATCTCATGTCTCTTAGTGGTCAGACAGCCAGCAGGAAGGGATGTGGTGTTTTTGCTGGATGGATCTGATGCTACTAGAAGTGGATTCCCAGCTATGAGAGACTTTGTCCAAAAACAAGTAGACACACTCAGTGTGGATGATGGCAAAGACCGTGTGTCGGTTGTTCAGTACAGCAGCGATCCAGCCGTCCAGTTCTATCTGAACACGTACACCACAAAAAGAGAGGTCCTTGACAGTGTCAGAGGTTTGAGGCACAAAGGCGGACGACCCTCAACACTGGAGCAGCTCTCCGGTACTTGAGGGATAACGTCTTCACGGCCTCTGCCGGAAGCAGGCGGCCATCAGGAGTTCCGCAGGTCCTAATATTGATCACTGGTGGAAGATCATTTGACAGTATTGATGAACCAGCCTCTGCTCTCAAACAGCTGGGTGTCTTGACCATTGCAATTGGAACCCGAGGCTCTGACCCAGAGAACTTCAGACCATAACTGGCGAGCCCAGTTATGCTCTATCTGTGTCTGAACTTACTGACCTACCCAAAGTGCAACAGCAACTTGAGTCCTCTGTGGAAGCTGCAGTTTTTGAAGTCACCCAGAATTACCAACCGTAATTGGTACGTTGTCAGACACATCCTGTTGCTTGCTCCAAAAGTTATTAATTTTAGCTACAGTGAGGAAAAGCAAATAAATGAATGTGATGTGTGTATAGGTTTTTGTGCATTTCAAACCAGTTGGTAGCATGCTGTGGTCTTTCTAAAACAGAAGTAGGCCAGGCTAGTGTTGTTAAAATATTAGTGTGCCAGTGAAAGATAATCTCACAAGCTTTGTGAAAGGTTTTCATTTTTTGTCCTACTGTCTTTTCTCAGCTTCACGTGACAGAAAAGATATTGTATTCCTTCTGGATGGTTCTGATGGCACAAGGAATGGCTTTCCTGCCATGCGTGATTTTGTAGAGAGAGTGGTGGAGAAAATCAATGTGGGAGAAAACAAAGACCATGTCTCTGTGGTCCAGTACAGCAGAGAACCAGAGGTCCATTTCTATCTGAACACATATACCACAAGGGAGGATGTGTGGACTCGGTCAGAGGGCTTAGACACAGAGGAGGAAGACCCCTAAACACTGGGCAGCTCTCCAATACGTCAGAGACAACGTCTTTACAAACTCCTCTGGAAGTAGACGCCTGCAGGGTGTCCCACAGATATTGATCTTACTAACTGGGGGAAGGTCTTTTGACAATGTAGATAGCCCAGCCTCAGCTCTCAAACAGCAGGGCATTTATGTGATTGGCATTGGAACTAGGACCTCAGATGCTAGAGAGCTGCAGAAAATATCATATGAGCCCAGTTATGCTCTGTCAGTGTCCGAGTTCACTGACCTTCCCAGTGTCCAAGAACAGCTCTCTTCTGTAATGAGCAAAGTGATAGTGAGGGCCACGCCCATGACACCAACAGTGACCGGTAAGAACGTGACTCCTTTGTAATCTCCAGTATCATGGTAGGAAACAGTGTGAAAGAAACCAAATGTGATTTGCTGTGTTCAGTTAGCTAGTGGATTGTCTTTTTTTTTTTTAAATAGTTGTGCTTGCGAAGAAAGAGTTCAATTTCAAGATGTTTCTCTTTAGCTGCAAAATATTTGATTGACCAAGTTAAACATATGGTAAATCTCATGTCTCTTAGTGGTCAGACAGCCAGCAGGAAGGGATGTGGTGTTTTTGCTGGATGGATCTGATGCTACTAGAAGTGGATTCCCAGCTATGAGAGACTTTGTCCAAAAACAAGTAGACACACTCAGTGTGGATGATGGCAAAGACCGTGTGTCGGTTGTTCAGTACAGCAGCGATCCAGCCGTCCAGTTCTATCTGAACACGTACACCACAAAAAGAGAGGTCCTTGACAGTGTCAGAGGTTTGAGGCACAAAGGCGGACGACCCCTCAACACTGGAGCAGCTCTCCGGTACTTGAGGGATAACGTCTTCACGGCCTCTGCCGGAAGCAGGCGGCCATCAGGAGTTCCGCAGGTCCTAATATTGATCACTGGTGGAAGATCATTTGACAGTATTGATGAACCAGCCTCTGCTCTCAAACAGCTGGGTGTCTTGACCATTGCAATTGGAACCCGAGGCTCTGACCCCAGAGAACTTCAGACCATAACTGGCGAGCCCAGTCATGCTGTATCTGTGTCTGAGTTCACTGACCTTCCCAATGTTCAAGAACAGCTCTCTTCTGTAATGAGCACAGTGCCAATGAGGTCACACCTTTGACCCCAACAGTGACTGGTAAGAACATGCCATCTTCAAAGTCCAGTATCATTGTAGGAAACAGTGTGAAAAGAAATCATTTGGTTTTGCTGTGTTTAATCAGCCAGTGGATTGTTTTTCCTTTTTTTTTCTGTTTTCGTTTTTGTTTTGTTTTTTTTATAAAATAGTTGTGGTTGTAAAGAAAGAGTTCACTTTACCATGGTGCTTTTAGCTGCAAAATATTTGATTGACCAAGTTAAACATATGGTAAATCTCATGTCTCTTAGTGGTCAGACAGCCAGCAGGAAGGGATGTGGTGTTTTTGCTGGATGGATCTGATGCTACTAGAAGTGGATTCCCAGCTATGAGAGACTTTGTCCAAAAACAAGTAGACACACTCAGTGTGGATGATGGCAAAGACCGTGTGTCGGTTGTTCAGTACAGCAGCGATCCAGCCGTCCAGTTCTATCTGAACACGTACACCACAAAAAGAGAGGTCCTTGACAGTGTCAGAGGTTTGAGGCACAAAGGCGGACGACCCTCAACACTGGAGCAGCTCTCCGGTACTTGAGGATAACGTCTTCACGGCCTCTGCCGGAAGCAGGCGGCCATCAGGAGTTCCGCAGGTCCTAATATTGATCACTGGTGGAAGATCATTTGACAGTATTGATGAACCAGCCTCTGCTCTCAAACAGCTGGGTGTCTTGACCATTGCAATTGGAACCCGAGGCTCTGACCCAGAGAACTTCAGACCATAACTGGCGAGCCCATGCTCTATCTGTGTCGAACTTACTGACCTACCCAAAGTGCAACAGCAACTTGAGTCCTCTGTGGAAGCTGCAGTTTTTGAAGTCACCCAGAATTACCAACCGTAATTGGTACGTTGTCAGACACATCCTGTTGCTTGCTCCAAAAGTTATTAATTTTAGCTACAGTGAGGAAAAGCAAATAAATGAATGTGATGTGTGTATAGGTTTTTTGTGCATTTCAAACCATTGGTAGCATGCTGTGGTCTTTCTAAAACAGAAGTAGGCCAGGCTAGTGTTGTTAAAATATTAGTGTGCCAGTGAAAGATAATCTCACAAGCTTTGTGAAAGGTTTTCATTTTTTTGTCCTACTGTCTTTTCTCAGCTTCACGTGACAGAAAATATTGTATTCCTTCTGATGTTCTGATGGCACAAGGAATGGCTTTCCTGCCATGCGTGATTTTGTAGAGAGAGTGGTGGAGAAAATCATGGGAGAAAACAAAGACCATGTCTCTGTGTCCAGTACAGCAGAGAACCAGAGGTCCATTTCTATCTGAACACATATACCACAAGGGAGGATGTGGTGGACTCGGTCAGAGGGCTTAGACACAGGAGAGGAAGACCCCTAAACACTGGGGCAGCTCTCCAATACGTCAGAGACAACGTCTTTACAACTCCTCTGGAAGTAGACGCCTGCAGGGTGTCCCACAGATATTGATCTTACTAACTGGGGAAGGTCTTTTGACAATGTAGATAGCCCAGCCTCAGTCTCAAACAGCAGGGCATTATGTATTGGCATTGGAACTAGGACCTCAGATGCTAGAGAGCTGCGAAAATATCATATGAGCCCAGTTATGCTCTGTCAGTGTCCGAGTTCACTGACCTTCCAGTGTCCAAGAACAGCTCTTCTGTAATGAGCAAAGTGATAGTGAGGGCCACGCCCATGACACCAACAGTGACCGGTAAGAAGTGACTCTTTGTAATCTCCAGTATCATGGTAGGAAACAGTGTGAAAAGAAACCAAATGTGATTTGCTGTGTTCAGTTAGCTAGTGGATTGTCTTTTTTTTTTTTTAAATAGTTGTGCTTGCGAAGAAAGAGTTCAATTTCAAGATGTTTCTCTTTAGCTGCAAAATATTTGATTGACCAAGTTAAACATATGGTAAATCTCATGTCTCTTAGTGGTCAGACAGCCAGCAGGAAGGGATGTGGTGTTTTTGCTGGATGGATCTGATGCTACTAGAAGTGGATTCCAGCTATGAGAGACTTTGTCCAAAAACAAGTAGACACACTCAGTGTGGATGATGGCAAAGACCGTGTGTCGGTTGTTCAGTACAGCAGCGATCCAGCCGTCCAGTTCTATCTGAACACGTACACCACAAAAAGAGAGGTCCTTGACAGTGTCAGAGGTTTGAGGCACAAAGGCGGACGACCCCTCAACACTGGAGCAGCTCTCCGGTACTTGAGGGATAACGTCTTCACGGCCTCTGCCGGAAGCAGGCGGCATCAGGATTCCGCAGGTCCTAATATTGATCACTGGTGGAAGATCATTTGACAGTATTGATGAACCAGCCTCTGCTCTCAAACAGCTGGGTGTCTTGACCATTGCAATTGGAACCCGAGGCTCTGACCCCAGAGAACTTCAGACCATAACTGGCGAGCCCAGTCATGCTGTATCTGT